CCACCCGGCCCCGGCCCGGGGCCTCCCCCAGAGGCCCCGCTCCCACCCGACCCCGCCGCCATCGCCGCTGACACCGGGGCCGCGCGACAGCCGCGCTTGGCGGCACCGTGGCAACCGCGGTGCACACACACCCGGAGGGAATAGGGCTCGGGGCTGGGGCCAGGTATGCTTTACGGCACTGCCGGGCAACGAAGCATCCCGGGCTAGGGAACTAATGACCACCGCGGTGGGAACAGAAGGACGACGGGGTCGGGCAGGCCTGCTTTACGGCACGGCCAGGTGACGGAGTGGCTCAGAGTGGGGTGCAGACTTGGGCAGCGAGCTTTTGCGACAGTAGAAGAAACGACCGCCTCAGGCATCTTTACGACGCAGGGGGTGCGGGCCCCCACCTTCAGCTTTGCGACAGCCGCCCCAACGACCCCGCCCCCGCCGAGGCAGGCGACGCCTTGAAGTTTTCGCTTTACGGCAACAGGAGGAGGTGTCTTGCCTTCGCGCTACACCCTTCGACGCCGTAAGAGCGGCGTCTGGAGCATCCAGAGAAGGGAACCGGTAGCTTTATAAATAAAAACCTCTGCCCTCGCACCGAGACTGGATATATTTTGCGACACTGTCGCAGTCCCTCCACTGTGTAGCGCACTTCTCGTGAGAGGCAAAGCGCGTCGACTTGGGGGGGGGGGGGCCAGGGAAGGGGCTCGTGATATTCCTAAACAAGCCCACTTGAACTCCAATCTAGCCAAACCCTTAAATTTTAAAGCCACGGATGAAGAGTCCAATGAAACCCTGGCAGGCAGATTCAAGCAATGGCACTGACGGTCCTGCCCCCAAAACCCCGAGCTATCAAGGCCCCCAGCCCAGCGGTCCGAGCTCGCGCTGAGGTTGGAGGACTATGACGTCACAATGAAGGCTTCCGCCCCATGACCGGGACCCCTGACTATGATTGGATAATTCGGATGAAGGCGGTGATGGGGAAGAAGGGCGGGAACAAATCCCAGAGACAAAGAAAGAAGGCCTTTGGGTGGGGCAGCCGGAGGGGCCCCTCGCCCGAGGTCCCTATATAAAGTCTCGATGCCGGGGCCGCGTTTCCAGGTAGCTGAGCGGGAGGGGACCCGGGCCTCAGCCCGAGCCCCCGACCTCCACGCCCCTCCGCCCAACGCCACGGTGGGGGCGGGGCCTCGGGGCGGGGCTATGAGGAACAAGTAGGCGGAGCGGGGCGGGGCAGCTAAGAGAGGTCCCCGGATGGGGCCATGGAGAAGCCCGAGGCTCTGGGGGCTGCCGGCGGCCGCAGTGGGGAATCCCCGGGAGAGGCGACCATGGGTGTGTCCGGAGGAATCACGGTCGAGGCAGACGCCGGGCCGCCCTCCAGCGTAGTCCCGTTTCACGGTTCTGGGCCCTCCCTGCACCCCGGGGGAATCGTAACTCGCAGTCCTGAATCTAGCCGGCCCTCCGGGGGCGTAGCAGTCCTCGGTTCCGGAC